TTGCAACACTCAGGCTTAGTTTCTCTCTCCCCAAGCGTGTGGAATCTTAATTCCCCGACTTGGGATTGAACCTGCATTCCTTGCATGGCAAGGCAGTTCTTAAATCACTGAACCACCAGGGAAGTCCCCCATGGCAGGTTTTGACCATGGCCTTTCGGGGACCTTTCCACATACCACCAATGGCAATAATGGTCACAGGCTCATTCCGCAACTTCGGTGCACGGGGACCAGCCTCCTGCCCTTCTTCATCTTTGGGTTTTGGCGGCTTGCCGGCATGCAGACAGTGGCCTGCTTGGCTGTGGCCTCTTGGTGGGGGCTCGTGCCAGCTGGGTGGCTGCTCTGGCTGAGTTTTAATGAGGAGGCCCTAGGGGACCCCTCCTTCCCGTTGTGGGGAATCCTGGAGCTTCTGTATTTTGATTGAATACACTGAACCGAGCTGTGAGCAGCAGATGGGGAACCCAGGGGGCCTCATACAGTGAATCCGTCTCTCTTTGCCACCGCAACTGAAAAATAAAACATCATCCAGGTAAAGCCAGTTGCATGAAAAGAGCAGGCTGCGTGATGGCGGAAGGTGTTTCCTAAAGGGTGATGTGAGAGATGCCGGGAAGAAGCAGCCGATGTCCTTGACAGTGAAAGGCTAGGGCCTGAGTCCTCCCTGCCTCTCTGCCTCTTCTCCTCCATCTTCCTCCCCTCCCTCCTCCATCTCTTCCCCTCCTTCCCTCCTTCTTATCTGTTTATCCCTCTGTCTCTCCCCCTAGTAACTGCACACTCCCCCACTGTCCTTGGCTCCAAGTTTAGGTCAGCCAGTTCGTCCCTGGGACATCATGGAGCCCTTCCCCACCAGGGGTGGTCACCAGATCTATTACACTCATTCATTCATTCACCAGCATCTGGCTGTAACATCAGCAAGGTGCTGGCTCCTGGGAATATAATGAGAAATTAGAGGAATAATTTCTCTGCTCTTGGAGACCTGATGGTTCAAGAGGGAGCTGACTCTGTAGGATGGTTCTGCTGGTACAAACACAGATTCCTGAGTCCCATCTGTGTAAGTCTGGTTCCATGATTTGGGCTGCACCTGGGAAGCTGCATTTTTCTAAGGAACCATCCTGGCGACGCTGATGGATCCTAGGCCAATCTCAGGGAAACATTCTTTTCAGCCTTGAGGCTGTGCCCAGAACCACCCATTCAAGAGTGTTGGTTGATAGCTGTGTACTGTGGTTCTAACTGTCCCGCTGGCCCTTGAGCAGTTAGAAAGTATAGTGTCTTAGAGAAGGATCTTACCACTCATGGGTGATGATGTTGGGAATTTTCAGATGTCGCACTTCAGGGTTGGAGAGTATTCTAACTTCTCAGAATTTCTTGATGTGCTCAGCAGTGGCTCTCTAAAAACCTGGGGTGACCCCACTGCTCCCTCCCATTCCCCCTTCTCTGTAGATTCCCGACCTCCCTGGACCACCCCTCCCACCTCCAGCCGCGCCTGTCGCTGGCTTTTCTCTGTCTCCCGGGTGACCCTGGCTTGTAACTCTCCCAGAGGGAATCTTCTCTGCAGTTTGCCTCATCTGACCATCTGATGAAACATCCATCCTCCCCCAGATCGGAGGGGAGATCGTTGTCATTGTTCAATTGCTCACTCGTGTCCGACTCTTTGCGACCCTGTGGACTGCAGCACGCCAGGCTTCCTAGCCCTTCACTATCTCCTGTAGTTTGTTCAAACTCATGTCCATTGAGTCGGTGATGCTATCCAACCCTCTCATCCTCTGTCTCTTCCTTCTCTTCCTGCCCTCAATCTTTCCCAGCATCAGGGTCTTTTCCAATGAGTCAGCTCTTTGCATCAGGTGGCCATAGTGTTGGAGCTTCAGCTTCAGCATCAGTCCTTCTAAGGAATAGTCAGGGTTGATTTCCTTTAGGATTGACTTGTTTGATCTCCTTGCAGTCCGAGGGACTCTCAAGAATCCTCTCCAGCGCCACTATTCAAAAGCATCAGTTCTTCGGCTCTCAGCCTTCTTTATGGTCCATCTCTCACATCTGTACATGACTACTGGAAAAACCATAGCTTTGAGTAGATGGCTGCTTGTCAGCAAAGTGATGTCTCTGTTTTTCAATACGCTGTCTAGGTTTGTCATAGCTTTGCTATTCAGCTGCAAAGAACAGAAACCTATCTAACACATTCCATTTAAGTCAAGGACAGGTCACAAAGACACAAGGGGCTCTCACATCACCCAGGGGCAGAGTGCAGAGCCAGGCCAGTCAGCAAGTGGGCAGCCCAAGACTCCAGCCTGCCCTGCACCCCCTGGTCTCACGCTCCGAGGGGCATCTGCCTCCCTCTGCTCAGCCATCCGTGTGCACAAGGACCAGTAGAGCTGCCCCCAAACGGCAGCCTGAGCCCTCCAGATGGCTGAGACCCTCCAGTTCTAGCTCCCGGCACTGTCTCAATCCCAAGTTTCAGAAAAACATAATTTGATAGACCCCATTTGGGATCCATGCTGACTCCTGTTCAGTTAACTGAAACAGGGGCTGGACTTCATATGCTTTTCCAGAAGAGGGATCAGCTGCTCCTCTGAAAGGGGCCAAGGGCTGCAGGGAATGCTTGACAGTTAAAGTGAAGCGGTTGCAGTTCTGGGGTAGCTAGTGCCGCGAAAGAGGGCGATATCCTGTGTCTATAGGGGTGCTTGGTGTGAGATTCCTGGGAAGACACGGAGGACGAAGGAGCACTATTATTGAGCTCCTGCTCTCTCTGCACTGGTCTCATTGCATGTCTTTTCACAGCGATGCTCTGCAGAGACTTCACTGGGATCCAGAGGCTCCATTCACTTCACGCAAGTTCAGTTTCCATGGCAGCACCTGCATTCAGCAAATTTGGTCCCTTCAACTCTCAACACTGGTCTTCCCATTGACACCACTGCTGCTGCACCACATGGGTACCAAGAAGTATCCCATGGGGTCAGAAATCTGGACCTTAAAGTCAAGCTGGAGATCTGAAGGAGCAGATAAAGATCTATTGTTGAGATCTATAGTTCAGTTCAGGAGAATCCCCCCTAACAGCTTCCTAGAAGCCCCAGTGGACTTTCATGGGGCTTCTGTTATGAGATGTCTCTATCGCCTAGGAAAGCATCTCACCAGCATTTCTGGCCTTTGGCAGACTGGCTTTTTCACGAAGCCATTTCTGAGGAGTGCAGTGAGGCAGAAAGACTGAAATGAAGGGCTTTGAGAGGCGAATGGTCCTGGCCTCTGCTCTGTGATTCATGCTGGGTCGCTAGTTCTCCACGGGCTTCAGCAGGAGAGGTCCTCCCTCTTTCACACAACCGTGGGGATTTTTAAATGAGACAGTGCGTAAAATGTGCTTTGCGCTCATGCTGGAGACAGTAATCACTCAATAAATGGCAGCCATAATAACAGTAATAATAATAACTTAGTTGCTTGAATGTAGGATGTTTCTCTATCCCCTACAGCACCAGTAAAATGCCTTGAAGGAGGCTGCCTGCTTCTATTTCTTCTTCTTCCCCCTCCTCACCCTCCTTTTAACTGTCCCTCTTCCCTTCCCCCTCCTCCCCTCCCTCTCTCCTTCCTTCTCCTCCTTCCCCTTCTCCTCCTCCCCCTCCTTCTCCTTCTTCAAGTGAGATACAATTGGATAACTTGGTGCAAGTTTAAAGTAGATACACTTTCTAAAACAGAGTTAGAGAGTTAAGTGATAGAGTAAGCACATGTGTTATCCAAAATCCTTAACGTATTTTATCTCATTTGATTGTCATAAGAGTTTGGACACGATTGAGCAACTTTCACTCATTTACTCACTCACTCGATGACCTCATGGGGTACCTACCCCATAATTCCTGTTTTACAGCGAAGGAAACTGAGGCTCAGAAAGGTGACATAACTTGGTTGTTACATGTTAGTTAAATGAAGGGCCCTTTTGTCTAACTTTAGGATCTTAAGCCACAGCTCTGAAGCTGACCGTAAGCTGAATTCAGTCATACAATGGGGTTACCTTAAATGCTCATAGGATTTTCAGCTGTATTAATAGAGGCATGGTATCTAGAATGATGGAGGTGAGAGTTCCGCTTGCCCTGCCCTGAAGAGAGCTCATCCAAGTGTTTACTTCTGGGTCTTGCAGTAAGGTAACCATCGTAGCATTAGCTAATGCCTCTGTTGTTTAGTCGCTAAGTCACGTCCGACTCTTTGTGACCCCGTGGTCTGCAGCACACCAGGCTTCCCTGTCCTTCACTATCTCCCAGAGTTTGCTCAAACTCATGTCTATTGAATCGGTGTTGCCATCCAGTCATCTCATCCTCCACCACCTCCTTCTCCTTTGCCCTCTGTCTTGCCCAGCATCAGGGTCTTTTCCAATGAATCGGCTCTTCACATTAAGTAGCCAAAGTATTGGAACTTCAGCTTCAGTATCAGTGCTTCCAACAAATATTCAGAGTTGATTTCCTTTTAGATTGACTAGCTTGATCTCCTTGCTGTCCAAGGGAGTCTCAGGAGTCTTCTCTAGCACCACAATTCAAAAGCATCAATTCTTCGGTGCACCTTTATGGTCCAGCTGGACACCTTTATGGTCCAGCTCTCTAACAGGTCACATACTTGTCATTTCTTTTCTTTTTTTTATGGTGAGAATATTTAATATCTACTCTTAGCAACTTTGAAGTACATAGTACACTATTCTTAATAATAGTTACAATGCTTTGCATGAGAACCCTGGAACTTGTTTATCTTCTCACTGCAAGTGTAGACTCTTTGGCCAATTCCCCCAATTCCTCCACCCTGCCCCCAGCCCCTGGTAACCACTCTGAGTAGATTGTATGAGTTTGACTTATTTAGATTCCACATATAAGCAAGATCTACAGTACTTGTCTGACTTATTCCACTCAGCATAATGCCCTCAAGGCCCAGAAGTGTCGTTGCAAATTGGAGAAAAGGATTTCCTTTTCTCGTGGCAGAGTAATATTCCATTTTCTATGTATCACGTGACTATCGCTCCTCTCTCTCCCTCTCTCCTGCAGGACACCAGCCATGATCGGCTGCTCGTTTGTGGTCAACAGGAAGTTCTTTGGTGAAATCGGTCTTCTGGACCCTGGGATGGATGTGTATGGAGGAGAAAATATCGAACTTGGAATCAAGGTCTGTGACATGGTGTCCTTTCTTCTTGGTCTGTTTATATTTGTGAGCAGCACTACCTAGTCATTTTTGATGTGTGTTTAAAGCTTCCTTAGCTGGGTGAATGACAGAATGGTTCACCCCACTTCTGTTCCTAAAGATGTTCCAGCAGGATTGGTACCCAATCTTGAGCTTTACCCGCTTCAAGAAGTTGAACAATTTGGCCATGCCTGGGTGATCCAATCTAGACATTAATTAGCTAGAGAATATGGTTCCTACTCCCATCCAGTTTCATTCTCTCCTTAAATCTTTCTTAAAATTAAGTCATCTCCTTAAATTAGAATTTCCAGCCTACATACTTGGACAGTTCATGTGCATAAAATAACCATAAGATGCCAGAGGAGAGAAGGATCGTGTTCTGTGGGACTCTCCTGTTTCTTAGAAAGATTTCTAAGGAGGCTGATGGAGAAGAGGGAAGAGGAAGAAGATTGCAGAAGGGGCTCTTGCTGGCCCCACGTTCAGATCAGCTCCATCGCTTCAGCTGGGTTTTGTTTAAAATTCTGTTTGAAAAATGATTTTTCACTGTCAAAAAAAAAAAAAAAGTTGGGCATATTGATGCATTCCAACTCTTCGTGTTAGAGTTAAGATAAATGGACCTCAGTGAAGGTTTGGGTGAGGGGAATCCTTTAGGACCTGGTCACCACTTAACTGGTGTGTCTTCCTGCATACCACAAAGAGGGGGCTCCTGGGGGTGCCCATTTAGGGTCACTGGGCCCCCACTGGCCCCTGTCCTGAACTTTTGCCTACCTGGAAAGTAACCTTGTTGGAAACGACTCGGACACAATTATAAGGTTTAAGTTTATTGAATTTCTTCCTCCTTCTGCTGCTGGAATCTCCTTTTTGTGCTTCCAGGCAGGTCCCCAGCGCAGAACCCCTACCCACAATCAAAGCTCGTTCTCCATGTCAGATTTCCCTCTTTATCCCTAATTGCTCAGAACCTTTAAGATACCCCGCCAGCCCCTCATCTACACTTACACCCCCCCTTCATGGAATGGAAGACTTCGTGTTCTTATGATGAAATGAGCATCCAGGATGCAGGAGCAATGGGGATGGTGGGGACCTTCCCTGCACCCTCAAGTCACTCCCTTTTGGAGACTGCAAACTCTTCCTGTATTTTCAGTTCTAGGCTGGGTTCTTTCCTAAGTGGAATTTACATAGAATTTCTTTGAAAGCCCAGCAATTAAAAATCCCATGGATATATGATCGCAACTAGTGTACTCGGCACTTAATCCATTTGGGAATTTAATTGATGGAAAAGATCTGGACCCAGAATGTTGAACTTGGCCTCTAACTTCAATTTCTACCCTGGTCTCATCTCCTCATTCTGCCATCTTCCTTAGCTCTCATCTGCTTCTAGCCAGGGAATTGACTTTTTTATTATGTATATTGTATTTCTCTAACTTTACTAGCCAGATTGCAAGCTTTCCGGGGCACGGAACTTCATGGTGCTCACCTTTGCATCCCAGGCACATAGAACCAAGCTTTACACATGGCTCAATAGGTATCCGTTAGATTCGTGACTGATGGAGCACCTAAAGGGACCCAGCATGCGTAGAAGCAGTGAGACATTGTGGAGACAAGCCCAGTGGTTAACTGGAAGATGATAACTTACACAGGTACTTCCTTGTGAAAGGACGGAGCTGAAGGAAGCCCTGCATTGAGATAGCTAAGCTTTCTTAAATGTTTCAAAATTTTATGATAGTTTATAAAATCATGTGTTTATTTATATATAATGTTTATAAAATTAAAAGTTATGATAATTTGCTAAGTTGTTGATTCTAAAAATTTTTAATATTTTATTAAGAGGGATTTGCATGTCTAATGGTGTGAGAAGGAAGCCTGTGGGGCTAAGATGACACCAGCAGAGGGGAGAACAGGATGATGGATGGAGCACTGTCCTCACGGAGGCAGGGGCACAGGTGGAGGGGTTATGGGGACAGGAGGGACCCCCAGATTTGATTGCCACAGCAGGCTGTGCTTTGTGGAAAACAGGTGGAAACATCTGGCCCACTGCTAAGGCGCTCAGATGTTGGTCTCCCCACGCGTGAAGGTATTTTCTGTGCATCGACCTGGTCACACCGCAAAGGTCTGGGTGTGAGGCTCTGCCGGGCTCCGTGGTGGTGGCGGTGATGACAGCCCTGCGTGGCTGCCCTATCCCTGCAGGAGGGGCGGAGCCTGTCAGTTTCGCCCTGCGGCAGCACCACCCAGTACAGCACCGCCCCTCGCCACCAGCTGAGGGCGCCCGTGAGTTCCGCGCCGCACCTCCAAGGGACAGGCTGGAGTGATGGGTTCCAGAGCCTGCTCACTGCTTGTCTTCTACTGGTCTTCTCAGCACCAGGCTGCTCTCCAGACGTCTTTGTGAAGGCGTCGGATGGAGGAGCCTGGACCCTCCCCTAGTGTACAATCACCAGTCTCTTATCCCAGGCACCTCCAGCATCCACGCTGGAGATTTGGGAATGTTTATGCCTTCATTTCCCATAGCCTAGAGGTCCCCAATCTTTGTCACACCAGGGACCTGTTTTGTGGAAGACAGTCTTTACATGGATGGTGTTGGGAGTGGTGGTTCAGGTGGTAATGCAAGCAATGCATGCCTGCTAAATCGCTTCAGTTGTGTCTGACCTTTTGCAGCCCTACTGACCTTAGCCCACCAGGCTCCTGCATTCATGGGATTCTCCAGGCAGGAATACTGGAGCGGGTAGCCATTTCCTCCTTCACTGGGATCTTCCCGTCCCAGGGATTGAGCCTGGGCCTCCTGTATTGCAAGTAGATTCTTTACTTTCCATGCAGAAATCACTGTTACCTGGTGTAAAATAAAATACACACATTCACTGTACATCATTCATCGTGTGTATGTGTGTGTTAGGTGTTCAGTTATGTCTGACTCTCTGCAACCTCGTGAACTGTAGCCCGCCAGGCTCCTCTGTCCATGGAATTCTCCAGGCAAGAGTACTGAAGTGGGTAGCCATTCCCTTCCCCGGGGTCATTCACCATGACATGAGTCTGAATCCTTTACCCAGGACTGCTGTGGAGCCTCCTGCAAAAGTTGCACCTGGAGGAAGGTCCTCCACGGGATCTTCCCATCTCAGGGATTGAGCCTGGGTCTCCTGTATTGCACGTAGATTCTTTACCGTTTGAGCCAAGTATGAGCCTGGCACATAACGTGTCTATCCTCAGAAAGGAGCCCAGGAAAGAGTCCACATCCTTCAAGCCCCCCTCTCTTGAAAAATACATTAGCTATCCCTGCTGCCTGAGATAAATCAGAGCTTTATGTAATATATACACTCATATATACATATGTAAAATTGTATAAAGTGTACACACATAACATTTATACAGATTAACCTATAATAACCTGCCAGAAATGACATAAAATCGTATGCGTTAACTATGTGGGGAAATTTGAATTTGAGAACACTTACCTTTTCTTTGTGATTTCTTTGACTAAGAAATAGGTCCATCGGTGATCAGACTCTTCTCTGACATTTTTCACTACCTTTTAATTCCATCCTCAGTAATTAAAGAATAGGAAGAACTGAGAACCTTACTGTGGTTCGGGAGAGGGGGGCAAACAGCAGGGTTTAGTCTAGGGCTCTTGCTTGGATGAAAGGCAAGCTTTCCCGTGACCAAAACAATCGATACAGTGGAGAGAGAGAGGGAGAGAAAAGTGCTTCCTAGGACTGAGAACATAAATGAGATAAAAAATTGAAAGGTTTCCTCGTGTTCTGAGTAACATTAATCAGCAATTTTAACGGTGTATATTATGGTAACATGTCTAAATGGTAAGAGGGAAAAAATTCAAGGAGAAAAGACCAAATAGATTACTTTTAAATAGTGTCAGATGGCCTCAGGTTTCTCCAATATATCCGTCTTCTTGGGGATGAAAAGGCACTGTCTTATTCTGAACCCTCAAGTAAAAGAATGACTAACACACACTGTTACTGAATCCTGCCTGCCTGGATCTGAAAGAAGGGTGATAGAAAGATTCTGTCAGATCCTCCAGCCATCAGGAAAAGCCTTAACTCGTCAGCAATCTCAAGGACTGAATAAAAGGCAGAATTCCTATGTGTGCTCATTGTTGTTGAAAATATTTTTGATAAAGTAATTAGCCTCCAACTAATAAAAATAAATGAAAAAAAAATTTTTTTAATGAAAAAAAGAAAATATTTTTGAGACCAGCGATCCACGATGGAGGTGAAGTTAACAAGAGGGTGGTGGGTGAGAAAGGGGGACTCAGGCGTGATAACCTTCTTACCTGGCCCAGCCTGGCCAACTTCCTCTTGGCGCAACTTTTGCAGGAGGCTCCACAGCAGTCCCGCGTAAAGGATTTAGACTCATGTCATGGTGAGTGACCCTGGGGAAGGGAATGGCTACCCACTGCAGTGCTCTTGCTTGGAGAATTCCATGGACAGAGGAGCCTGGCGGGCTACAGTCCATGAGGTTGCAGAGAGTCAGACACAACTGCGCAACTAACACACACACACACACACACACACACACACACACAGTGAGTGATGTACAATGAATGTGTGTATTTTATTTTACACCGGGTGTGAATGATGTTCTTAAAATGCAGAGTTAGAGCTTGGTGCCACAACTACTGGTGGCATAGTTCACGATACCCCCAGACTCCCATTTTCCTGAGGAGTTGGGATTCCATTCTTATGACTCAAGTGGGCCCAAGGTTGGCATCTCTGCCATCTTGCCCAGCCCAGTGCACTTGAGCTGATGGCACTAAAGACCTGCAGGATAGTCCACAGACGCAGGCTCTATGAGGCCCCATGCCAACTGGGATACCTTCAGCAGTAGATTTGATAATCAGGGGGCAGATGGTATAAACAATCCTGATCTGACTCTGAAAGTTCAGGTATCACGAGTACCAGTGTCTGAGAGTGAAGATGAATATCTCAGCTCAAGTAGAAGACATGAAACAGCTCTGACCAGCCCTGTTGATGGATGCTCTGATC